CTTTAATTTAAGCAAGGGTGGGGATATTCTTTTTTTAGTTTTGGGTTTTATTTAATTTTTTTACATTTTCTATTGCACTGTCTTTAATTGTTTTTAAAATCAATATACATACATACATATATATATATATATATATATATATATATATATATATATATATATATATATATATTTTTACTTCAAGTTATAGTCTAGGTATTTGAAAATTATCACACATGAGATCGAATGTTAATACGGTTTGTATGCATTCTGATTTGGGTGAGTCATTGCTATCTTAAAACAGGCAAGTACAGTATTTCTGGTAGCTGCTTCCATAGTAGGTAACAGAACCAGTTTCGCTGATCGAAATTCACCTAATTTATTTCTCTATGCAGAATTAATTGTAATATTAGCCGTTTGCTTACAAGGAAACATTCAGGATTTATTAACTGAGCAGCTTGTGCTATACGAGTTACGGTTTTATTCCCTCGCTCGCCATCGGAAAGAGATCGAAGTGTAGTATCAGTTCTCTTCATTTCTCATGCTGATGGTAATATTAGCCATTTCCTTATCAGGAAACATTCGGCCTTCATTGATAGGACAGAAAGTGTTACGAGAGTAACGCTTTTCTTCACGCCCTCGTCATCGGACAGAGATCAAACTGTAGTACCTGTTCTCTCCATTTCTCATGCTGATGTTAATATTAACCATTTCCTTATAAGGAAACATTCGACATTCATTGATAGAAAAAGACAGTGTTACGAGAATTACGCTTTTCTTCACTCCCTCGTCATCGGACAAAGATCAAACTGTAGTACCTGTTCTCTCCATTTCTCATGCTGATGGTAATATTAGCCATTTCCTTATAAGGAAACATTCGACCTTCATTGATAGGACAGAAAGTGTTACGAGAGTAACGCTTTTCTTCACGCCCTCGTCATCGGACAGAGATCAAACTGTAGTATCTGTTCTCTTCATTTGTCAACCTGATGGTAATATTCGTCATTTCCTTATAAGGAAACATTCGGCATTCATTGATAGAACAGACAGTGTTAGAGTTACGCTTTTATTCACTCTTTAACCATCGAACTTTGACTAAAGTGTAGTATCTGTTCAACTCTAATTGTACTGGTAAATTTAGCCATTTCCGTCTCAGGTAATATACGGCATTTATTGACTGAACAGCAAGTGCTACTCGAGTAACACTTTTTCTCAATTCCTGATTATCAACCTTACATCCTAGCATAGTAATGCTCTCCTTATCTCTATCCTTAATAATAGCTGTTTTCTTTGAAACATTCGGCATTCATTTCGTCCCCATTGAGCTTGGATCAAAGTATTGTATTTGCCCTCAGGTGGAGAAACTGTATTTCATCTCTCAGTTGTGCCTCTGTCTTCGGACAGGGCGCCGCTTCAAATATTATTGAGAGGTGCCCGTTTTCGGGAAACAGCTACCAACGGCAGTCCCCCTCTCATTACACTATGCGCTTGTGATCTCCAAATTAGACTGAACCTGTGCCACACACCGTCGATAGGTGCGGGGAGAGTAAATACTAAATCTAGCATCTGCTCTCAACATCTCTATATGCTAATGGTAATACAAACCTCTCCCTTATAAAGAGACATTCGGGATCCATTGGCCGAACAGCTAGACGACTTGCGGATTTCTTCACTGCCTAGCCATTGGACAGAGATCAAAGTTTAGTATCTGTTCTCTTCATCTCTAATGCTAATGGCAATTTTAGCCGTTTCCTTATAAGGAAACCTTCGGCATTCATTAACCGGGCTCCCACGGCTACTCGAGTTACACATTTGTTCAATCCCGAGCGATTAATGGGTAGTATCTGTTTTCCTCATCTCTTATTGTACTGGTAATATTAACAGTTTCCTTATAAGGAAACATTTGGCATTCACTGACTGAGCAGCCACCGCTACACGAGTTACACAAAAGGGTATTGCTGGTATTGTTTTTACAAAAAATGATTTCTGGTATTTTTTCATTAAGATGTATTACTGATATTTTTTTATAAATATGTATCGGTGGTATTGTTTTAAAAAAATGTATTGCTGGTATTTTTTCTTTTTACAACAATTCATTTCTGGTATTTTCTTCATATAATATATTGCTGGTATTATTTTACAAAATATACTGCTAGTATTTCGTACAAAATTGTTTTGCTTCTATTTTTTGACAAAATGTATTGCTGGTATTTGTTAATAAAAATATATTGGTATTTTTTCTTTTCACAAAATTGTATTACTCTTATTTTTTACAACAATGTATTGCGTGTAGATTTTTAAAAAAAATCTGTTGCTGGTATTTTTAATACAAATGTATTGCGGGTATTCTTTACAGAATTGTATTGCTGATATGTTTTGCGAAATTGTATTACTGGTATTTTTTATAAAATATATGACTGATATATTTTTATACAAAAATGCACTGCTGGTATTTTTTTGTACAAATGTATTGCTGGTATTTTTCGTTTTGCAAAAATATACTACTGGTATTTAGAAATGTATTTCCTGGTATTTTTTTAATAAAACTATGTTGCTGCTATTTTTCTTTTCACAAATATCTATTTATTTTATCTTTTATTTTTTCACAACAATGCATTGCAGGTATTTTCTTTATAAAATGTATTGCTGGTATTTTTTATAAAATGTATTGCTTGTATTTTTTTTGGTAAAATTTTATTACTGGCATTTTTATATAATGTATGACTGGCATTATTTTACAAAAATATATTGCTGGTATTTTTTCACAAAAATGCATTGCTAGTATTTTTTACAAAAAAATTATTGCTGGTATTTTTTTATAAAAATGTATTTCTAGTATTTTTATAAATATGTATCACTCGTATTATTTTACAGAAATGTATTCCTGGTATTTTTATAAACATCTATCGATGGTATTTTTTAAAAATAAATACATATTGTTGGTTCTTTGTTATAAAAATGCATTACTGGTATTTTTTCTAATAAAATATGTTGTCAGTATTTTTTTTACAAATATGTATTGCTGGTAATTTTTCGTTTTACAAAAATGTTTTGCGGGTATTTTTTCTTTTTACACAAATGTATTGTTAGAATTTTTTTTACAGAAATGTATTGCTGTTATTTTTGTAAAAAAAAGTGTATTGATAGTATTTATTTTTTTACAATCTACCATATTTTAGGGGGAAAAATCATGACCAAGTAGCCTTTCACATAGTAAAGTGATGTTTACGATGATGCGATCACACGGGCACACGGAGGAAAGAAGACGCTGAGTAATTTCAATTTTTTTTTTCGTTTAAGCATACCTTTTAGATATATACTACATGCAAAAGAAAGGGATTGGCAGATTGATATGTTTTTTTTACGGCTTACCAACCCTTTGTGGGTTATTTAAAGGCGAAACATATTTTAGATTGTAAGAATACCGTATATTTCTTCGTATAAGCCAACTATTAACCTAAAAATTACACGCTAAAATAGGGACTCGTCTAACGCAATAGTTAGAAAAATCGGACCTGGAATCCTGTGGTGTATCGGCACTGGTAAGTAAGCTAGTATGCTGGCGACATGGATCGTGTTAGACTAAAAACTGCCTCGGTATGGTAACTACTAATGTAAATATTTTTAGTTGAAATTTATTAGAGTTATAATGTTGTACTACAGTTATAAATGTAATAAAGCCACTTTTATTTCTTGATTTCATTTTAAAATGCTCGAGAGACGATTACACAACAATTTGTAAAAGTTCCGCTAAGCAACAGGCCCAAGTAACAAGTGCCGTAAACAAATCTTTCGTTTTTGATTTGTAGAGCTATGGATGCGTTCACACAAACATTATTTCTCATAATAGTATAAAAAACAACATTTAGGATAACATAAGAATTACACCCCTGGTGCAAATTAATTGAAACAACCTCTTTCGTTTCCTTTCTTTCACGATACGGTCAGTTTTAGACCTACTGTTGTAATCGAGTTCTATTATTTTTTTTCCTCGGATTAGATCATTTGAAGTGGTGTGCAGTAATATAAATCTGTTTTCGGGGTGTATGATGAAATTTACTTGGCCTTGAAAAATACTGCGCCTTCCGGGATTGCATCAGATTTTCATCACGCTCAGACACTATTGTCTCGACTGTCGATTAGTTGTCCTATGGCCATTTTCTGCCTGACGTCCCAGTCCGTCTCTCTCTGTATCCTCAAAATCGAGCTGAATTCATATATAATTCTCCGCCCTCATATCAAACTGTTCTTACGACAAAACAATTTAATTTTCCATTGTTTAAAGTCGGGGTTAAAATCCTATGCTTTGATTTTATCCCATTTCATTCAGAGTCACTGCTCCAAAACCAAAACATATTCGGCTGCATATGGGTCAGAAAACTAAAAAAAAAACAAAACAAAAATAAAACATGCACTGACTTGTCCGATTCAATGTCGCACCTGACCTATCGGCAAATATTCTTACCAAGGAAAATTAATAAAGGCTATAATAACACAAACAAATCTATTCCAAATCTTCGCCTTGAAATTTTAAAACTACGATACTTACCGATAACAAGTTATATTGTTCAAATGAATAAAAACTTGTGCCAAATCTTTTTTTATAATAACTAAAAAAAATGCAATGTGACTTTATGTATTTATCAATCTTTTTCTTCTCTGTGCCGCGTCCCTGCAGGACATGAGCGGACTCCACAACTTCCTATCCATTGTATCACATACCAGTTTTTTATTCTTTTACTACGCCTCATATTCTCGTTTTGATATCCATACAAACAATTTTATCAGAACTTATTACGATTCAGTCATTACCTGTAAATAGGTCTTTGTTTCTAAAGTCCTAGGTATGACGATAAACTACATCCGGCAGCAAAGGGCACTAAT